GGCCAAAACCGGTCTGGGACTGGTCCGGGACCGGCTGGGCCTGGTCCCGGGGCTGGTCGGTCCTGGGACCGGTCCTGGGACCCGGTTTCGTCCTGGTCCCAGCTCGACCGGTCCGGTCCTGGGACCGGTGCTTGGACCTGTCCTGGGACCTGTCCTGACTCCTGCTGCGACTGCTGGCGTCGGATCCACCCAAGCCGCTCTAGACACCTGCTTCCTCCGCTATGTCGGCCTCCCACGGTATCCCGGGCCAAGTCGACGCACCTTGCACGGCGCAAACCGGCCATACCCGGATTAACGGACACGTCGGAAAGATGGACCAGCCTGGACTGGGTCCCAGGCGCCGCTCTCGCTCGAGTCGGCTTCCAGGTGCCTACCTGCGCGGGCAAACGTTGCGTTCAAGTGGCGCAGTGCACTGCGGCTGCTCGGCTGGGAAATCGCAACTTTCCAGTGCAACTGCAGTTTCGGCAGCTCCGGCTCGGAGATCAGACGTGCAGTGCAAGTGGACTCTCTACCACACGGATTAACGAAAAAGTCAGACAGATGGCAGCTCGTCCGTCAATAACCGCACGGGCCGGTTTGTGCCCAAGTCACGTTGCTGGTCCTAGAAACAAGGCCGTCGGTGCCCCTCAACCGGTCGCAGGGAGTGAGTGGGACCTGGCACCCTGTCCAGTGTCCTGAACAGGTCCCAGGACCAGGACCGGTCCTGGGACCCCAGGACGGGGGACCGGCCTGGGAATCCACCTTTTGTGCTTTCGGGCGTGTTCCCCAAAAACCATCATGGAGTCCGCGCACTTCCTCTTGCATCCCACGCCGGTCCCCTCTTCGCGCAGGCTCCACCCTGGCCCCCGAGTAGGCATGTTTTGCGCAGACCTGTATCCTTGGACAGAGGTTGGATTCTCAATACGTCGAGTCAAACAGCGCCAGACTGGGACCAGCCTGTCCCGGTCCCTGCCGGCGACCGGTCCAGGGCAACTTCGGGAGGGCCAGTTTCAGGGCGACCCCGGGAGAGGCGACTGCTCCCGGGCCAACTCGAAGTGACTTGGGCGCAAGCCGGCCCAAGCGGTAATTAACGGACTAGCTGCCATATTTCTGACTTTTCCGTTAATCCTTGTTTGTGGTCGTAGAGGATCTTATAAGTGGTCCCTGGGTTTGCGGACGTGTTTCAGGACCGGTCCTTGTGACTTTTCCCTTAATGCGCCGAGGGTCGGCGGCAGCAGGCGGGAGCCTGGTTAATATTTTTAGAGTTTAGAGCTTCTATTGGTTTTGCTGGCTTAGGTTTCGGGTTGCAGGGCTTAGGTTTCGATTTTCAGGGTTAGGTTTCGTTGTTCTTTTTTTTTTTGGGGGGGGGGGTTAGAGTTTTTAGGGTTACAGCATGCATCAATGGATGTATGAACAGACCTACGCATGTTGAAATATAGACGGATGGGTGGATGGGGATGGGATGGCGCCAAAAACCGCAAAAACCACGAAAAGCAACTCGAGAGAAATGAGGGAATTTGACTTGTCAGATTTAAGTGTGCTTCCTCTCTGAGTTGATCAAACAGGTCCTTTATATAGGATGGCCATTGGGAAACCACTGAAAAGATTTGATGCTTCCCACATGGGACAAGTGACCCATGGTGAAAAATGGGGGCCGGCAAAACATAACAGACACCCCCATATGGCTGTGGGTCAAAAATAGGTGCCCACAATGGAACCCTGGACAATGGAAACAAGGACTAAAACCTGCGGTCCGATTCCTGGCGGATTGACTTTGACCCATACCCATTTACCCACGGCTTGAGGCACACGATCTTGAAGGCTCCGTTCACCAGGCGGATGGCCACAGCGAAGTGCTGGAAGGTCGACTGCAGCTTCTCAAGGTCCCTGACCGATTCGATCGCTGGAGATTCGATGTGCAAACCTTCATCTACCCTGTTCTTTGCTCTAATTTGCTGGTTCTAATTCATCTACCCGTTCAACCTTCATCTACCCGTTGTTTTATTCAACCTTCATCTATCCGTTATAATTTGCTGCTCGTTCGGGTCATCCCTCAAGTTCAGCCCTGAGCCATCCGAAGCCCCGCTCAGCGCCTGTTGTAGCGCTTGCCATCGCTGATCTCCCGCGCCACGCCGCGCGCCAGGATCTCCTGGGGGTCGGCGTAGATCCCTGAGCTCACAGGTCAGAACAGAAGGCCTTTTGGCGGCCAAAAAACGGCACCAAAATGTTTGGAAAGGCGTCCCACACCTTTCGATCATCGGCACCTTTTGGCCAAGGAAACCTACCTGAACAAAAATCCCTAGCTTTGAGAAACGCCCAAAAGGGTGTGTGTGTTTTTTGTTAGGCCTGGCAACATGATGGTTTTGCTTTGGCTTCCCTTTAAACCACCTCCAAAAAGGGTGCCATCACAAAACGATGCCCCTGTAGTCATATAATATTGCATAACATGTGTACGTACTTGTGCAACATCTCGTCAACGGACAACCCAACGGCGTCCATTCAAAAGGAATCTCCCTTTCCCCGCGCAGCCAGGACAAGGGAAACCACCTGGATGGATTTGTCTCAAGCTTGGAGTTGCCTGGAGGTGATCCAGTTCACACAAAAGCCTTGAAGAACCAAACGGAAATTGGATCAAGAATCAACAGCCATGGCTGTACTTTGAGTTTGTTGACGATGTCTGTCCCGGCGAGCACGCTTTTGCAAACGCAACTCGGAACAACAACGCTGACCGCCTTATGTCTTTGCGCGTGTAGGTTCGCGACCTCGGAGCCTCTGATCAAATAACTTTGAAATACTTGGAACATGAGCACTGGGAAGTTGGAGAGTGAAGCGAATTGCCAAGTTGGAGCCGCTTCAGCCCCTCACGAAAGCCGCTTTCACATCCAGCCGAAAGCCTCGAGGCCGGGTCCCGGGCCCAACAAGCACACCTCGTAGCCCGTCAGCTCCGCGATCAGTCGCTCCAAACTCTGCAGCTCCGCGCCGGTGTCGGAAACCACCAGCTCCTGGGGATCCCTTGTCGGGGAATGGTTTATATGGGTCGTTCCCTAAAACCCCCCTAAAACCCGACTGCAGTTTTACTACAGACCTGCAAGATGATCGGGTTTCCTGGTCTCCAAGAAAGGTGCTCCATGGACCATGGAGCGAGGCTGGAAATTAGATTCCCAGCAAAATAACAAAGGATGCGATCCAAATTCCACCCTTTGTGCAGGATTTCTCACAAGTAGTTTGACTAAGGGCCAAAGGTCCAGCCTGACTGGCATGTGAACTCCCATCCACTTAAATGTAGCTTCTGGCATCACAGCATCAGAGTGAGCTTTTACATGTGACTGAATACGATCAAAGTCCTCCAATCACAGAACTCAGAGCCTCAAATGCAGGCTCACCGAGGCTCACAGTATACAAATACATGTACATGTACACATAAACATACCTGCACGCATGCATGGAGATATTTGTACATACTATGTTGGCTCATCCTGCCTTGTGCCACAGCCTATGTGAGAAATCCTGCACAAGGGGCGGATTACGCGTCGTCAGCAGGGAATGGTGGCAGCTCGTCTCCGTCCTGCTTTTGTGCCATGGCCAAGGACATCATCTCCTTCCTGGCCAAGGGCTCAGCGCGCAAAGCAATGAAAAGGGTCCCCTTTTCCAACCTTACATCACTGCTAAAGCAACTGACCTCAAAAACAACCAAGGCGGTGTGACCTCAAAAGCAACCAAGGTGGTGTTTGAAGTGTGGGTAAACAACAAGCAAAAAACAAAAAACGAAACTCGCACAGCCCATGTAAACCAATCTTCAAAACCAAACTAGGCTGCAGGGACCACAGTTGGGCTATGGGTTGGGGGTATTGGGCTGCGCAATCAAAACGGTAAGTCAAATATATAGTGCAGCTGGCCGATTCTATAGGGCTGCAAGTTGCAAGATTTAGCTTCATCAGAAACCACAACCATTGAACATCAAGGGTCACAAAGCCTCCAATGGTTCCCCTGTGGGTTGCTCTCATCTTCAAGGCCGGCCTTGCATCCCCAAAATGGTGATTTTCCTGTTGGTTTCTCTTAGAGCCACCCCAAAAAGGGAAGCTCTTGTTTCTGGCTGAGGCTCTTTGACCACACTACCCATTGGAGATGTCTCAAAATTCGAGGCCGCCCTTTTTTGGAGCGGGCTTGAGCAAGGAAACCACTCATTTTCTGGAACTTTTCACATGTAACCCAGAAAGGGGGGGCCCCCAAGGCGATTCAAAGAACATAATAATGGTTTCTCGGGTTGCAGGAGAGTAGTTGGGTCATCCCAATCCAACATGCAGGAAGGGCTTGGCGCGCTGCACCACCGACTTCGCCGCAGGCCAGGCGTTGTACCTGAATTAAAACGCAGGAGTGATGCACCTATTTTGCACGAAGAAACTGTCAAATGGTCGTTCTCGTGCAGCGGCGGAAAAAATGGAAGGAACATTTTAAAGCCCCTTGCCCAAACACTTCCAAATGCTCGTGCTAGCAGGCAATGTAAGAGTCCCAAACGATGCTGTGTAAAGAGCTTTCATCAGACAAACCGTGGATTGAAAAGACTGGGGAAGTCACAAGGAGAAAAAGCAACAGGCAAGAACGATCTAGCCGCGACAACCTGGTTGCTTCCGAAAGTGAGCACGTTGGAGTTGCAGATTTGGGACCACCCAACATGGCTGAAGCGTCAAGCACACGCATCAACTCAGATGCTTGGTGTACACTAGCTTTTCAGCCAAGGTGGTACTGCAAACTGCAAAGTCAAACCTGAACAGCTTGGTGACTGCCGCTTCTCCAAACAAACATGTATTGGGTTGGGAACAACAAGTGTGCTAAACGGAACACGGCACCCGGCACACGGGTAGAACGTAGGCCGGAAATGTATCATCTTTTACGGGCGCGGATCCTCAAAATTACCCTGAAAAAGATGGATTAAAGGGAAACCGCCGTGACCCAAATGTAATTTTGAGAACCGCTCACTTTTGTTCACGGCGGAGAGCACTGGGAGTTCAGATGGCCACCCCGCAAGCCCAGACCGCGCAAAGAGCCAAGCAACCACAGGCCCTCGTTGGCCACGCCGTTCTCGCAAAGTCTTTGATACCTGAGGCTGTTTCCCACGCTACATAAACATCTTCATGCTGAACATATTGTCATCCTTGAGCTCGTGGAATTCACCTACACGCTGCACCATTGGCCTTGCCATGCAAATCGACTACGCATAAAATACGCCTGCCAAGTGGGCCGCCTGCTTTCAAGCTGTTTGATGGAGCGAAAGGTTCTGGCACATGTCAGAAACTTCAAATTTTGGGCGCTGAAAAGACTCCGCAGGACATTGGGGAAAAACCAAGGGCCCACCCCCCAGCGGTTGATAGAAACTTCGAGCTGTAGAACCTCTCCGGGGTGGCATCTGATGTTTCTCCTGAACAATGGCTCATGGGCTTCAATGGCCCAGTTAGAGAACACGAAGGGCTCGTTGCTTGCTGTTCGCCGTGCCAAAAAGAAGGTACCTTTGAGGGGTCTCGGAAAGAGAAAAAAAACAAAGAACCCGCAGGGTGGGCATCGCCGTATGTTTTGGGGGAAATCTTACATGAGCCTGGTACTAGGGGTCCCAAACTGTGAAGAAACAAGAGGGCAAATATCAGCACCCTCAGAGTTCACGAACCTTCATTTACCCAGAAATGAATTTGTGACTCGTATGACAGATGTATATGGCCTTGGCCATCCGCAGAACAGTTCCTCGGCCAACCTGTCTTAACCAAACCGTTTGGACATCGAAGCGGGCTAGGACTAAGCCGTGCGTTGAAGTGCATTCCAGCACCCAACAGCTGCTCTTTGGACAGTACTTGGAATTTTGGACATGGGAAATAGCAGTTGTTGCGGGAGGTGCTGGTGGAACTCTGGTTTATTTGCATGTTCAATACTGTTCCGTCTTAGAAGACCTGAAGGTCGCAACAACAAATCCTACCATTTCCTCTGAAGAGCCCGCAAATGATTGTTTTCTCAGAGGTGTGTTGTCAGTTTTGAAAGCCGCGCTTACAATGCGGGCTGCTTGCCCGAATGTGTAGTAGCAGGCAATTGGTCGGAGATAGTCAAAGTCTACGAAACATCCAAGCAGTGCCTGGCTCTATTCAAATGGGGCATCGCTGCATCAGATTTCTACCAGCCCTCCAGTTTCCCTTGACCTCGACGTTGCGCGCCTTGAGAACCAAGGGAGCCACTCACAGTGCAGCCATCCTACACTATGAAATGGAACCTTCCGTGGAATTCGCGCCTGGCACCTCAAGGCTTGTGAAGCATCGCCCATCCAAAGAAAACTCGCCAAAAAGGTGAGTTAAAAACCACCAGAAAGGGGAAATATGGGGAACCCTGACAACCTCACATCCGGTTGGCAAGGAAAGAAGGCCTCAAGAAGGACGTATATCTACCAAGGGTTGCGAAAGCGTACCCTAGAGATGCAATGAAAAGATCAGCAAGAAGCAACCACCCAAGCAACAAAGGGTGTTTCGCCCCCAATTTCATAAAGAGCTTGCCTCAGAGGATACATTTGGGCCAGTTCACAATTCTCTTCTACCAGCTGTTTTAGGGGGTAAAGGTATCCTTCTACCGGATCCTGATACAGCTGTATCAAAGAAGCCTCCCCCCCCGCCCCCGAAATCCAGGCCCATCATAGAAACAAAGAAAAAATACACCACCAAATCCCACCCTCCCCCACCTCCCTCCATAAGTCCAAAAACTCAAATCCCCGTCTTCTCCAAGAAACCGACCCCCGCTTCACCCTGCGGCATGGGAGGCCACTGGGAAAAACCGCGCGTGTCTTCTGCCGCGGCGCTGCGCGTGGAAGTCCCGGAACACCGCGCCGTCCACCTTGGCGGCCGAGGAGCTGATGCCGAAGCTGCCCAGCAGCCGCGACACCACCTGCAGAGCACTGGGGGGCGGCGTGGGCCCCGGTGGCTTGGGGGTGGCTTGCCAGCGGGGCGCCTGAGGCGAGAGACTTGTGGAGAAACCCGGCGTCCTTTGTTTTAATTGAAAGATGGTTGGGCAAACCAGAAGGAAAACAAAAGAAGCCAGTTTGGGGGTCCCGCCAAATTGACACATACAATGTTTCTCGTGGCTTCCCGGAAAGCAGGCGTGGAAACCCTTTGCTTGTTGGGGTTGGCTGTTCTTGTGGTTCAGGGATGCGGTATTAGGAGTTGGATCCCCTAAATCCAGCCAGCGTTCCATTTCCCTTTTTTCACCAAGCCACAAAACACACACACACACACACCAAGCATATCGCCTCGGGGCACCAACGGAGCCCGTCCAGCCCTCCAACCCCCCGGCCGAACGCAAACCCCAATCCCCGCGCCGTGGTCTTGCCACCCGCGGAGGGCGACATCACCAGGAGCGCCTTGGGGCCCCAGGACCCCGTGAGGCAGGCCTGGGCTGGTGGGGGCGGTGAACAACAAGTCCCGAAACGGACTCAAAAAGAAAAAGGTGCGGCCCAAGCAACACAGCCTAACATGGGTTGACTTGGATGGAAACATGGTTTGATTTTGACCCATACCCATGTGAAGTCTAACCCTGTGGACAGAATTCGGGGAAATGACCTAGGACCTTGTATATTGTAGCCATATGTCCCACCAAGAGGAAACTCAGGCTAGTGGCAACCAAAAGACAATGTTTAAATCCGCTGTAAAGGGAAATCTGGAGATCTCGAGCAAATTCCAGGGGTGTTCCCCTGGAAAGAAGTACAGCTGCCATGTACCTACCTATTGTTTGGGTATGCTAGCTGATTAATTCATAAACCTTCGGTTTGCTGGAGGCAGCGACCGGTGTAAGGAAACCAGTTCACTCTTTGAGGACTGTTTTTGCAAGGTGTCCCATTAAAGAGGGAAATCCAGATCATTTGTTTGGGGATTCGGAACCTATTAATCCACTAGGTTGAATCCAAGAAACACAGAAGGAACATCCAGACAGCTTGGGTGACTCCAAGCCAAACAACCTGGGACTCCAAATATGGCTGTTTCTGTTTTTTCTTGTGGGGGGCAGGTCATTCGGCAAATAATGGCCCGAATACGGGGGGGGTTGACCAAAAACAACGACCACAAGAGGGCGCAACGTTGTTTGATCCGTTTCATTCAAGCCTGACAGGAGCTTGCAGCTCCGCCAAAATTAAGGGAAGTCCATGTGCCAACTGATCGTTGCTCATACCCAACCCCCCCCCCAAAAAAAAAAACAAAAACGAAAAGGGCTTCTGGAAGTCCGAAGCTGATGACATTGGCACGATCCCGTCCGACGGCATGTCGGAAAATTTCGGGCCCGGGCCTCCTTGGCTGCGCTCCACTCCTAAGAGGAACCAAATGCAGCTGGATCCCCCAATCGTCGCTCCCCCGTATTTTTCTTGGTTCCCTGCCTCCAGAGGAACTCCAGAGTCCCCTGCTTTTGCGGAACATGTTGAGCTCGTCTCTTTTTGCGAACCTCAAATGAACCATAGACTGGACATGATTTTGACCAAAGCTCTGGTAAATAATGGTCTCTGGAAAAAAACTTTGGGTGCCAGGTTTGTCGACGAGATAAAAAGTCACAGACCACCGAGGCAGGCGGCATCACGGGGCCTCTCCCCAAACCTCAGCTAACCATGCAAAAAGGCACAATCCAGCACCCCTCAACAAGCTACGTTGCGGACAGTACTTGGAATTCTGGACATGGGAAAGGCAGTTGCTGGGGGTGCTGGATAAGGTTTGGTAGTTGAATCTTAAGGAAAAGCCATCCCCCCCCCCCCCCGAAAAAAAGAAGAAGAAGGCAAACTCAACCCACTTTGTCTCATAACCCAATCCTCCCATACGCCGGCCTATGGCCATGTGCTTACAGAACACTTGCAGCTTCGAAAGGCCTCTTTGAGGGCAAATTTGGATACCCCATGTCTGCCTTCCAACCCGCTAGATGGGTTGGCTCAAAATAGATTTCGGTACCCTCCCCCGCAATTTGGGTCATTTCCTCTCGGTTTCCCTTTGAAACCATGCAACAAATACAGGCCCCTCGAAAAAAAAATGGACACCGACACACAAATGGCCGCCTTCCCGATTCGCGGCTGAGCATCTGTCTCCAGCAGGGCGCGGAAGGGGCCCGCGCAGAAGTCCAAGATCTGCCCACCTCGCGCGCATCCAACGCCAACCGTTCTGCGGATGGACGACATCCGGTTGAAACCATGGGAAGCCATGGTTTTTTGGGGTATTTAGAGGGAATCATGAGATATGAGGGTTTCTTAGGTGCGAAATGGATTTCGTCCACCCGCAGTATGATTTACTGAGACGCTCTGAGCGGATTCTTATCTAAAGGGGTGTGGGGCTTTGGAGGATTCCCTTCTTGGGGTTGGTTTAAGGGAAGACCAACAGCCAAACCGCTATTCTACTCTTTGTTTAACACAGATCCAACTGGAAGCCTACCACTTTTGGCCATTTTGGATTCGCATCCGGCGGCTCTTGGCGTGAACGCTTGCGGCAAGTGAAAGCCAGAGGCCGCACCTGGCTTGCAGGTGAGGGGTTCCAGGATAGATTGTATGATATAAATGCAAGCGAGGGATCACGATCAACGCCGCCTGAATCTATCGTTCTGATCTCAAAGCCCCAGCTGCCATGGCAAAAAGAAGCATCCTTGTTTGGGTAGTGTCAGCTTCCCTCCAAATTGGAGGTTTGGTGGCGATCCTCTACAAAAACCAAGGGTTCAAATCCCCAAACCACAAATCTAAACCACCAATTGGTGGGAAGCTGATAGTGTGTTTAGAAGGAGAAACGGGCCTCACAGTGTCGGGGCCCTTCCGCATGAAGCAAATTCCAGGCCTCACTTAGCCGAATGGTTTGATTCTCAGTCATGTAAGCCCAGTACACCCCACAAAAAAGAAGTGAATGATCCCAACTTGTAGCCAAAAAACCCAAACCCTCACCCCCAAGCCCCCAACCCCCAACCCCCCACCTCCCAGATCCAGCGCCGACAGAAGCCGCGCATCCTCGCGCACCCCGCGGCAGATGGAGCCTGGAAGCTTCTCCTGGCTCTCAAGTCGCTACGCTCGCAAAATGGGCAACCCACCTGGGCTGGCTTTTGGCTCCAAGATGCTTAGAAAGGTTTGTATGATGTGAAAAATGATGTAGAAAATGGGTGTAAAAACAGGCAAACCCATGTGTATATATATATATATAATCTGCATCCACCAGTTGACCGACCAAAACCTGAGGTGACTTATGGTTCTGAAGGTGTGTACCCTCAAACCAGGCAGAACCTAAAATATGGCCTAAAAGGTGTTGGCGCTGGTTCATTGATTTACTAATCCCTGGTTGATTGAAAGGGGGTGTCCCAATCAAGAAGGAATCCGGATATCACTTTTCGGGAGAAAGGCGGCCTGCGGCTGGGACGTGGAACCGCGAAAAGGGACAAGAGAAGGTTCCTCTCCAAATGATGTGGCTGTGGGTCAAAACCAACGGGATCCCATTTTGGGGTAGGTGCACCACCCATTTTAGAACCTATTTTAGTGGGGATTGGGGTGTTCACTGGGGGTACGGAATTTTGACCCATGGCCATGTTTGTTTGGGGCCCCCTTGAACATGTCCCTGAAATCATACCTCAGCACTTGTGAGCTGGACCAGCCAAGGAAAATGCACGCCTTTCCAGGGATGTAAACACTGATGCTGCCTGAACAAAGTGCAAAAAGGTTAGTGCTGGCAGTATAGCTTTGATGTCAAGCTTCCCAGTCAAAGTATCAGGAACAAGCCATCATGATGCGGTTGACATGCACGCGAAAGACAAATTCAGAGGTGAGCAATTTGTCACATACAAGCGCGGCTGCATATTGGTCAATGACACTAAAACCAATGCAACTGGCATACCGACCTGCAAGGGGCTTCAGACCACTTGGCCTCGCAACTGCGGATTGAGCAACCCACGAGATGTCCCTAACCCTCGTGGGTGTACAGCCGAGTCTTATGGCACGTGAAAACTGAAATAGAACCCGCACAGCAAGTGTCTCCGTTGCCTGTCTGGTGTTGCAAAGTTCCTCTCTTCGCCAAGGCGTGTGCTTACCAAATCAAGCCCAGGAAAGCAAAATCCAGGTAGGTTTATGGGTGTGGCTCAAACATCGGGGACACCCAACCAGGTGAAGGAAAGCATGATCAAAATCTGCAGTGAGTCAGGTCCTTGTGATTCCATTGATCAAACCATCTGTTTCACTCAAAGGAGAGGGAAACACAGTTTTGTCAACAACGGGGGAACCCGGGACCTTAAAAGGAACGAACCCCTCCGTGACTGCGACCTCTCCCTTAACCTTGGGGTTAGCGCGTGCAACGCGCTGTTTTCAGCACTTGAGCCAAAGCAATGATTGGGTCATGCTCAGGCATTGACTTGAATGTACAACATGCAACTGACTACATGAGAACCTACCTCATGTACCTCTGGGCCATAAATGTCATCGTGATAATTGACTCCCCCCTCATTGACGGCACTGAGGGAGTGTCTTGGGCGCATTACCACGCCAACGAAGTCAAGTTTACATCACAACGACTGACGCAAGTTATTCAAGCATCACCCAGGCACTTTGCACACTTTTGGAAATTTTGTAGACATGCTGCAGCGCACTAGGCAGCTGCTTTAGCGGATCTACTTTCACGAACGTCTTCAAGCTTCTCTGGAAGGTCAACACGAATGCCGAGCAACCGGATGGCATGGTCCCACTTGTTGGGTGGAAGCGCTTTCGTGAAGATGTCTGCTGACTGCATGTCGGTTTGTACGTATTCTATGGAGATGTGTTCGCTTTCAAGCTGCTCTGCGATGCACGCGAGGTTCACCTTATGTGTTCGCTGGACACAGCGTAGCTTGGATGAGAAACCTTTTCTCGCTACGAGGATAGTCGCCTGATTGTCCTCGTGGATCTTGAGATGGAATGGTCGGTCCAAGATCAGCTCCCACAAGCTGAGCGCCGGAAGCGCCTCCTGGTAAAGGGAGTATGCGAGAGATACGATCTCCGCCTCGGTTGTCGATCGGGAGACCGAGGTCTGCCTTTTGGACACCCACGCAAGGGGGAAATGCGTGTGCGGACCACTCAAAATCAAGAATCCACCAGACGTGGATTTTGCGTCTCGTTCTCCAGCGAAATCGGCGTCCACATAGAGAGACAGATGCAACTCGTCAGTCGAATCCTGAACTGTGCCTACTAGCGTGCTGTTGACCGTGCTGTTTATGTAGCAGATAAGCCTATGTAGCTGCTTATCGCAGTTTCTAGACCATTTCTGAACAAATGAGGCAAGGTCGCCAATAGGCTTGACCAGGTCTGGGCGTGCCAAACGGCCGAGCCATAAGGCCTTCATTAACACGCGGCAAGCGGCGAAGCCGAGCTCACCCTCCAAGGCGTCATCTGCAGGATCAAGGGATCCAGCGGGACAGAATGGAGTGGTGGCATCACGCAACTTTTCAGTTTTTAGCTGTGCAACCTCAAGATACAATGCAACCGTTTGACGGGCATAATCCCGCATGTCGAACGCCATGCCCCCTTTCAATCTGCCCATTGCGGCATTAAGATCGGGTTCAGTTGGGTCCTTTGGAGCATCTATCAAAAGGTGATTCCTGCCTAGCACCCGGTATATGTCTTCTGGGGGTTCTATATCAACCAGTCTTGTTAACTTTTCCCAGAAGTCTTTATGAAGGTGGCTGGGGCCGGCCAATGTCAAGTCGTCGACGTATGTCGAGAGAAGTAACCCGGACTCCTTGAACCAGAAGTTTCCCGGAAACTCTGCGACCTCACGCCCTCCAAGTTCACTAATGAACCCTTTTAGGTGTGCCTCCCAGAGTCCGCCAGCGTCAGGATGCCCATAAAGAGCTTCCCAGAGGATCCAGGATCAAAAAAAATCAATCTTTTCCTATAAAAAAAATATCAATCTTTTTGGAGATCAATCTTTGCATTTTATGGCTGTTTTATGTGTTCCCAATCACATCAAGGAAGATCAATCTTTTCCTGAGAAAATATATAAAAAAATATCAATCTTTTCTTGCAAAATATCAATCTTTTTTGCACAAAAACTTGACATGTCCAAGAACTTAAGGATCTCATTTGCCCTTCTGCAGGGCACATGCAGCACACCACTTCTTTTTTTGCCTGGCGCAATATGTTAACGTTCTGTGTCACAGCAGCCCCTTCCAGAACCTGACATACATCATCAGCCGATACTTTTTCAAGATCTTAACAGAAAGCAAAGTGGCTGTTGTGCCAAACGATGCTGAGTGTGCAAGCTTGCTGATTCTGCCCACATAGTCTTCAGCCTTAAAGCACCATGCGTGTCTGGGATTGCCAAACCTGAAAGCAAGGGCCAAATGCTTGGCCATGTGAAATTTGATCACTGTGTGCCAGGTGAAGTCATTGGACCTGTGCAGCTGCAGCCACTTGTAATGCCCCAAAAAGGAAGTCATCAGAAAGGCTGCCTGGCAGGCCTCTTGCTCACTTGGAAACCTGGGAGCTGCATCCATCAAATCTACAAAAGCTGCCATGTCTTCAAAGATAGCCAGGATCTTGGAGGAGACTTCATCTCCTTCATGGAACTCCACTGCCAGTTGTGCAAACAGATGCACCAATGCTTTGCATTCCCCAACTCTTGCCCTAAGGAAAGGCTGGGTCTGATGAGGCTTGTCGGGGCTGGTGAACATGGATAGCTTCAATGTGGGCAGCCTGCAGTCCACTTCAAAGTCCTTGTAGAGCGACTGTATTTTTTGCCAAATATGTTTGACTTTGTCCCTTATGCTTCTTCCTGGCACAGCCTTGCAAGTGTAGCACCAAAACTTCAACGCATTGCCCATACAATGAGAAAGAACACCTTTGCAAAACAGGATGTGCATTGCATCCTGTGCAATATTGAAATGGGATACTCCATGAATGGTAAAGAGTGGGTGTGCTGAGATCCTGCAATTCATTTCTTCTTGAGGTAGCCTCCAGCCTTCAATGTCTTTGTCCAGGTTGCTCTGCTGCTGAGGGCCAGTCATCTTACACTCCCAGCAGGGCTGTGCGTTCATCCAATGTGGCAGCTTCAGGACATTGGCAAAAAATTCTTGGTCACCCATGACCTGCCAGATTGTAAACCTGTAGTTGTGAACAATGTCAGTCTTTCCTGCCTGCAGCTTAGAAAATGAAGGAACAATATGTGACCACAGTGTCTCCCAGGTTGCACTCACTGCACAATCTTTGGGAAAGGCCAGCAGCAGGAGAGATGAGCTCAATGACGGGCCTGATTCAAGACAGAGCCCCAGGAATACACCATCATAGTTTTGCCATCGGCATACTCCACACCGTCTCCATGAACCCAGAGTTCCAAAACTCTAGTAGGCCATCTGGTTGGAAAATGCTCTGGAAATGCTCTGGGCTCTCCTGCAATGCTGCCACAGTGTTGCACGGGTCAAAAAAAGCAACGTCAGTGGTTTCCTCACTTGTCCTGGGGTTGGAGCAAGGGCAATCCTTGATGATAGTGGGCTCTGCAAAGGATGCCTTGCATCCTCTCCAAATCCCTGGACACATTGTTGGGGTGTTGTCCCCAGGAGCCACAGCTGGCCACCTTGGCCACGGCAGGGTGCTTCAGCCCATCCAGAAAAGCACTGTGTGCTATTTTCTGGCAAGCAATGGCAGAGATGTCACCAAGAGTCCACAGCCAAAGCAAGTGAGTCTGCAACACTGATTCTGAATCTGTGTTGGCTGCTTTGGGGTCGCGCAAGCACCCCAGGCTTTGCTTGTACCCAGGCATGATGCTTATCGGCTACAGCATGATCCTATACTAGCTATAAGCTGGAATGCACTTCTGCAGCGCAACAGATTCACAACCTGCACTTTTTCCTTTGCTGCACCTTGGCTATTGCATCTCTGGGTCATCTGTCGGCTCCTTTGCAATGGTCTGCAGTCGAATTACACCAACTGATGCTAAACTCAATTCTGGAGGCTCAGCTTCATCGAATTCACACCGACAGTCTTTGCAAATCTGCCACAGCTTCAAGTACTCAGTCCTGCATGCAAAGAAAACACAT